CTCATTGTAATATTAATTATGACCTATTGTGATTTTTTTAGTTATAACAAGAAATGATTTAATTATAATACTTTTGGGTGTCAACATCATGAAATATCATAACTTGTAGGTGGTATCACTTTTTGGAGAATGTATGTGTCACGACCCAAACCCGTCCCTATGGGTTTGGCACCGTAACCGGCCAGTAATCCGTGATTGCCGAAGGCCTGCTTAACAGTAATGACAGGAATACAGAGTAAAGGGGTTGGTGGAAGCCAAAACAGTAAATAAAAGATGTCCAATGAGCTGTGACAGTCTGAATGCAGAAAGACTTTTATGAACAAGTCACATTCGTAACCAAAACACATTTACATACCAGATATACATACATACAAGTTAGGGATTCAATCCCTATGCCTATAACATCTATTACAAAATAGAAACAGAAGGGTGAATCCGAACACCCCAAAATAGCCGTAGCTTGAACGGACTTGGAACCTCGAGGCGAGGCACAAAGGTTGGCTTGACAAAACAAGAGCTAACCTGACGCTCCTAGCTCCGGTCCGGTGCCTGGACACTTACATATATATATATATATGAACAGTGAGCTAAAGCCTAGTGAATAACAGTTATGTAAAGAGGTTAAAAATGAATGTCCTTTTAGTAATTAAATCGTCATATCAGTCACTTAGAAACCATAGCAGTTATATGTGGTGCATCCCATAGCAAAACAGCACAGTAGGTCTTAACAGACCGAACAGTCAGTTGATGGCCATCATAACAGTAACAGTAATGGTTCCAAACATGGGAACCGACAGAGATCTCTGTGTCAGTAGCAGTAATAGTACAGTAACAGTAAATTGCTATGGATGCCACGAATACAGTTTATAAATAGGACAAACATTCATTCATTAAACAATAACGTTTCAGTAAGCAGAAAAGTTGATTATTCAGAAAATAATCATAATTGAACATATCTTTACAACATGGTTACTCACAGAGCACTGGGCTATAAGCAGCTAGTGGGCGTTCTCGGGTGCCAACCCTACACAGTTATAGAACGAACACACGCTAAGTTACACACTCGGGAATCAACAACTTAGTCCCTATCTTGACTCGGTGTGGTTCTACATCAATATCCTCATTAAGATGCCTTAAACATGGCCTAAGAATGCCTAGGATGGAAAGAGGATGTAAGGATGCACTTTAAAACACTTTTCAAAATTTGTTGAAACGGGGGTCCACGCTCGAGCGTGGCTTTTACGCTAGAGCGGACATGCAGACAAAGGAGCTCCGCTCGAGCGTGACTTCCTATGCTCGAGCGGACTGCAAACTTCATGAAAAGTACTGGATGCATGCAATTCACGCTCGACGGACGCTCGACCCCCGCTCGAGCGTGAACTTTCTCGCTCAAGCGGACTGTAAAACACATGAACTTCTAGGCATATGCATTTCACGCTCGAGCGTGACTTTTCACGCTCGAGCAGAAGTGCATGTACTCAAAGTGCACGCTTGAGCGTGAAGTCCTACGCTCGAGCGTGGGTCCAAAATCTGGAATTTCCAGATTGAACCTCAAGCATGAAATTCAACTTTTAAAGCTTCAAATTCGATCCCCTTGGGTTAATTTTCTGGAAAACTCTTGGAAACTCATAGTATAACATGTCTTTGAAGATCAATTTGTAAAATCAAGCCCAAGGGTAAGCCAATTGAACACAAATTCAAAGGAAACTTGAAGAACGATGCAAAAATCATACATGCATGAGTTCTCATGTATTCTAGTGTTTCAAAACAGGACCAAATGCAATGTTGAACTCAAAATCATGATGAATTCATGGACCATAACAAAAATATGAACTTGCATGTGGAAATTCTCATGAAACAACTCCAAAATTCAAGAATATGCACATGCATGTAAGGATTAACTCTCAATTCAACATTTTAAACCAATTCTTGACATTGATCTCCAAATTTCCATGAATCATGCAAGAAACAACTTAAATACATAAACCAAAGCATGAATCCTCTACCTTAGGTCTTGAATTCAAGATGTGGAAGCTCAAATATGCAAATTCCCTTCAATTCTTCTAAGTTTCAAGCCAATCTAGGTGAACTCAACTTCTTTCCTCTCACCCATAGTTTGGTCTTTAAAAAATGAGCAAATGATATGAAACTAAGCTCTACACAATGTTTAACAAAGTGGCCCATTACAATGGCAAGAAGGTAATAAACTCAAACTATTGTAATTTAACATTATTTAATCTAATTTAATCATTCCAAATAGGATTTTAATTAACCTACCATAAAATCACATAAATTCTAATTAGCATAAAACACTAATCAGTTTCTGATTCGGCCGTCGATAAGGCCTTCAATTTGCAATTCGAAATTAAAACATGAACAGATTCATTCAAAAATCAAACAGATAGAAATGCATTTAAAACAATACACTCCTACAATCAATTCAGGATTTCATTCTAATCAGTTACTTATCATGCTTAATCACAGATTAACACTAATCAGAGGTGAGAGTTGTCACAGTATGGTAGATGAACTCATTACCATGAAATATCATAACTTGTATATCATATCCCTTTTTAGAGAGTGTATGGAAGATAAACTCATTTTAATAAAAAAATTTAATTAGGAAGAAAATCCTTAAAGGCATACTATTACAATTTTAAAGAGAGCAGTATTACAATTTTATAAAAAAGATATAAGATATAATTGTTTCTTTTATAGAGTATCCCCTTCCTTTTAGTGCTCCTTGGTGTTTTTTTTTTTTTTTTTTTTTTTTTTTTTTTTTTTTTTTTTTTTTTTCTCTTTCTTTAACAAGACCGTTTCTATGATAAATTAATATAAACAATACGAGTGATAAGCAATAATATATGCATAAGATATGTTAAATCTTAAACCTTATTGTTAAATATAAACTATTTTTTTGTAATCATTTTATATCATCGGAATACATGACATAATATTATTTATTTTCATTAATTAGTTAATAATTATTTTCTAATAAGGGAACTAATCATGAAAATTTATGTAATAGATGATATAAAGTATATCATTTCTCAATTTTTAATAACAATATTCCGTTTTATAAAGATTGGAAGACTTCTTTTTTATAAAAAATTGAAATTATCATAGGCAAATATAAATATTAAATATAACGCTAACACTTACAAATTTGTAAAAAGAATTAGGTGGATAATTATTGTCTCCCACTTATCGAACCATGTTTGCTACCACAATACAAAAACTCTTATTAGTTATTACCATTATACCAAATATTTAATTAAGTTTTAATCAAAATTTATCTACTTTCCATTGATAACATGAAAAATAAAGTTCGGCAACTTGCCCTAATGCCTTCTTTCTAAGCCCCGGTGACCCAATCCTAAGTTCACTCTTGGAGATTGGGATGCCGGGAGAGATGGGTTGGATGACTCACTTTTTAAATAATGAATTTCACTACTTTAATCAACTAAGAAATTGATATTGATCACTCACTTGTTAAGTAGTCAAATGGTATCAGTCTCCATAAAATAGTTCATGTTGCCTAAAAAAAAAAGATACATAGTTTAAATTGTAAGTTAGAATTCTTTATCTCAATTGATAGTATTCAAATGGTGCAGGTCCAAGTCATGGAAACTAATATCTTACAAAATAGGGATAAAGTAGGTTTATTTAGATTCCATCTAGATAGGACTATTTGTTTGCATTTTTTTTAATTTAAAAATGTATAGCTAGACCCGGTATAGACTTATCTATTTTCATATTTTTGTTTTAAACTTTCATTTTTAATATGGATATTATTTTATAGATCTCATAATGACAAATCAACAAAAAAAATAAAAAAAAAAATTATATAGAAAACCGGATAACATAATTCAAGTAGAACAAAGCTTCCAACACCAAGTGGGGGTCCTGGGGTCGTGCGTGTCGTTCACTGATTGGCTAAAAAAAAAATTGTTTATTTATTTATTTTTTTTCAACGAATGACACAGCATCACGCCACTAAGGTGCGACCTCCACTGGGGTCTCTGAAGCATGGCTCAATTCAAGTAATGAGATTTTAAAATTTTAATGCATAACACGCATATAGAAAGTTTTTTCAATGTTTTATTATTACGAAAAGATGGTTAGGAGGACTATGATAGGCACACTTGGAAAATCGATGCTATTTTCGTCAAATGCAATGACTTGTATAAGTTTTGGAGATATTTTTGCCAAATGCAACGACATGTATAAGTTTAAGAGATTAGCATCTAGACTAATGAATTTAAAATTTGAAAATTAAATTTATACCTTGAGAATTTAATAATTTTAAAAAATTAAAAAATACCTTTCATAGCATTTAGTTTGTCAAGGTAGTTTCTAATTAGCCTCCGTTTGGGAAGTGGGTTGACTTTTTGGCTTTTTGGCTTTTTTGGCTATTTTAGCCTGAGCTTAAAAGCTTGGTTTGGGAAGGGCTTTTTGGCTTTTTGACTTTTTTGAGTTTTTTTGTGAGAGAAGAATGTAATGATTATAGGTTGGATGTGATGTTTTGTTTGTTATGGCTAAAATAGCCTATTTTGTCTTTTGTGACTAAAATAGCCAAAAAAACCCAAGAACCAACTTGCCAAGCAGAGGCTTAGTTTTTATTTTTTAAAAAATAAAAATAAGTTCTCAACCGAGCATAAACAGATCATAGTAAAAGAGTTTCTCACAATCTTTTATCATTTCTTATTACTTCTCACCTATTTAACTAGTCAAATAAGGGAAAGGATTTTTTATTTTAATACTTTTTTTATTTTATTTTCTCACCGAACTCCAACATTTAAATAGAGTATAAGAGATTAGCACTTAGACAGATGAATTTAAAATTTAAAAATTAAATTTATAGCATGCGTATCTAATGATTTTTAAGAATTTAAAAATACTTCCATGTACTATTATTCACTTTTGTGAAGGTAGTTACTATTTTTTTTTGGTTAAAATAAAATAAATAACAAGTTCTCAACCTAGCATAAACAGATCATTATGGTAAAGTAAAGTGTAAGAGCTGGTGCTTCATCTTATTTGTCTTCTTTTTTAACAATCTGAACACACAGAGAGAGAGAGAGAGAGAGAGATTCATTTCATTTCTTCCAATTTTTCATGAAGATGAAGATCATGTCACCATTGACCCTTCTCTTCACAAACAATCTCATACTCCAATCAACTCTCGTTCTCTTTCTCACTCTCTCTCTCTCTTTCCTCAAGATCCCCATTGTCTTCCTCCAAGGCCTCCACACCTACATCCACCCCGACGATGTCAACCCCTCCGCCGCCACCAATGGCGGCGTCAGGGCCGCGATCCGAAGACCCGGCACCTCCGACCACCAAGAACTCAAACCCAGAAAACGATCCAAAGAAAAATTCGAATTCGACGAAAACAAAGCTCAGATCTTCAGACTCAAGCTCACAGATGGTCATCTTCAGACCCGTCTCTATTTCAATCAGTTTCGCAGCGCTTTCAATTCGACTGTCATTGCTTTGTCTTGCTTTGTGCTTCACAACTCTTTGTCTGTACTCGAAGGTTCTGGAATTATCGTCGATGGTGGTACTATCGTTCCGATTCTGTTAGGGTTAGCTAGTGTTTGTAGGGTTTTCATTTCAATTGCGAGGGTTTCGTTCGAAAAATCGGCGTCCAAGAGGTCTGAGAAGCAATTGAGTGTTGTATTGGGGTTTTTAGGGTTTCTATTAGGGTTTGCGATCGTGATTGAGGTTGTTCCCAATTGGGTTCTTGATTTTGGGTTTGGATCGTTTGATGGGTTTGGGAAGTTTTTGATTGCTACTTTCATGGGATGCATTGCGGGTTTATTGTACATGCCGGCTGGGAGGTGTGCCCGGGCATTTTGGCTTGGGACCGATCAGATTCGATGCAATTTGTCGATAATTAATTGTGGTTGGATTGCAAGAACACTTCTTTATGCTAACTTTTTGTTGATTATATTCACTTCATTGCTTTGGATTAACCCATTTGCTAATCTCCTTGTTAACAATCATGTTGATGATAAGAAAGGAGGAGCACATTTGATTGGTAATGCTGATGAATTGGTTGGTAATTTTGGGATGTCGCAATCAGATTTTGGGAAATTTAGGTTTTGGTGTTTGTTAGTCTCAGGTCTTTTGCAGATTGCAACTTTGCGCCCAAATTTGCAAATGTATTTAAATGAGGCAGTGTTGTCTTGGTACCAGAGGTTACATGGTGGCAAGGTTCCGGATTTGGATTTCAGTAGGGCAAAGGTTTTTCTTCACAACCACTACTTGTGTCTTGTAGTTCTTCAATTTTTTGCACCACCGGCACTGGTACTTCTCTTTCTTGGGTTCTCTCAAATTGATGACAATTTGTTGAAGAATTTCCAACCGGTATGTAGTTCATTCCCCTGCTCTGCTTTGGTTAAGCAAGTAACTTTATTTATGGCTTGGTGGATTAATTTTGTTTGGGCTATATTTATTTCGGCAAGCCTTGTTCTGTATCGGCGTGGCATCTTGTATGTTTCATAATGAGGTTTTGATTTCCAGCCCTTGAACCTGTTATGCGTCTAGTTTTGAGCGAAGAGTGTTGTGATTGTAACATACTTTTTCCACATTCAATTGATGAGTTGCAATTTTGGGGCAACATTAACACATTTTTGGAGGCTTTATCTTAATTTTGTCAATTTTGTCTTTTTTTCTTTTTAGATGAACTTCATGCTTGTAATTTATTGAAGCAAGAGTGTTTACAAGGATACATGTCCATGGGAAAATGAATTGATGAAACTATAATTCACGAATCACGACTAACGGAACTTTTATTGTGCCAATATTATTTTTTTGTTGTTATTTTATATGTTCAGTCTTGGGGGTGTGTTCCTTCCAAGGTTCAGGGATCGGAAATTCTTTGGTGCCATTGGATTGGAGGAAAACTTTTGAATTAACTGCACTTGCGGGAAACTCAAGGGCCTATGCACCCCTGGATTAATCGGGTTTTGATCTGGATACCCCAATGTCAATAATAAAAATAAAAAATAAAAAAAATTCCTTTAAAACTAGCATCAGGAGGAAATTTGTTGCGATTAGAAGTTCCGAGCTCGTCTTTTACGGAGCTTCTATTTGCACACACAATATACACTTTTTACACATCTTCCTCACTACACTTTTTGCATATCCTCTTCATTAAGTGTGTGTATAGAGTGGGTTTGGTGTGGGTAAATAGAAGCTCTCGTCTTTTACATTATCTTAAAGGATAAATTACATTTACACCCCCTCTATTAAACGAAAATCACACCGGTACGACCTTTATCCTCTAAAACATCACTATACTCTTTACTTTAAAAACGTGTAACAGTTGGCTCCATGCCGTACAATTGACCAAATAGAAAATGATGAGATCAACATAAATAACACTTGAAATGCCAAATAGCCTCACATTCCTTCTTTTGTTCCCCCTCCATTCTCTCCATCTCCGTCTCCCTCTCCCTCTCCCATTTCCTCCTTCCCTGTCCCTTTCCGTTTCCCCATACTCACAACTACCTCCGGCCCCACCCAGTCTCTTCCAACCATATAGAAGTGCGCACACACACAAAAAAGAATAATTAAAAAAAAATCCAATGAATTGTGAAAACAACTTGGAAATTCAAGTAGAGAGAAATTTGAGGGGCAATCAAATGAACTTGGTGGGATCAAGAAGAAAATATGCACAGGTTCTGGTGAACTTGGAAAACCAAGACATAAATAATAGCCATAAACAAATAAATAGAAAAAGACAAACAAATAAATAACTACATATTGGCTATCGTTTAATTCTGCATAATGATTTTCATGATCACAAATTAGAATAGAAATTTTAACAGAAACCACCACACCACACTTTACCACTATTTCAGCCCCATAGTTTACCCATCCACAACTGCAAACCACCAACCCTCCATACCCACAACCAATCTTCCTTTTGCAACAACACCTAACCCATTAGATCATACCAATACCTCTCTCAAGTTCCCAATCAGTTCATGATCTTTGTGATGGTGATGGTGATTCAAGGGCTCGCAACAACAGCCAACCTATAATTGAATCATACCCAACCCACAATTAGATGAACACTTCTCTCAAGTTCCCTATGCTGATGAAAACACCAATGCATGTCATCAAATCCAACAAGTTGATTATTGATCTTTTTGATTTTGATGAAAGCACTGTGCTGTCAAATCCAAGATCTTCATGATTCTGCTAAAAATTATGGCGGTTGCCGATGGAGCAAGGTTCATAGGTCATTGGCAATGGAGAAGATATCGGTTGGAGCCTAGAGGGCTTGAGTTTCGGTTGTTGGTTCAATGGTTATGCTTGGATTACAGAAAGGATATGAGAGAAAGAGAAGGGATAATCAGAAGTGTTTTGAAGTAAATTTCCAAAGCCATTGTGTTTAATGGTATTTTCAATAGTAAAGGGGGTCACGGTGTCATTTCATTGTTTTCTAGTGGGTTTTGTGTAATTTACCCTTTCTTTAAATGTTATCTTAAGCATCAAGTTATTTCACTATCTCTTTTTTGTACGTAAACTATAAAGCTGTCACCACCATCAGAAAATCATAATAGTTCCACACCGCTACTATTTCACTACTACCACTACCATTTTGGCATCCATGGCCACCCTTCTTTGTAGTAGTTGGAACTTGGAGTGTAATACTACTCGGAGCTGGAAGGTTGTACCTTTACTACCCTTGATACTCGTACAATTGGAATTCATCATAATAGGAGTTGGAAAAATGATAATCTTTTCTGTTTTATTTTAGTTAGCATATGATTCTACTTTTTTCCCCTTTCTAAACAATGAATGCTAATTATGCCTTTTTTTTTTTTCAACTGTGTTTTGTATAATTCATAGCATATATCTATACTATTATGTAAAACCAATACCCTTGTATAGTCATATACTCATCCAGAGTTTTAAACGGCTTTCTTGAGACTCGCCTCGATGCTCACCTCGTCTTGAGGCTAAAGTAAAACGCATCAAGACTTTGATTTTTAGGCATTACTCCCCAAAGGCTTGCGCATCATAGTTTGAGGCATGCGCCTTAAGTGCGCTTTTTACGCTTTTTGCACATAAGCATGTGAGGAGTATGCACATGCAGAAGTTGTCTTGGGCATTTGTTAAACTTAGTTTATTAGATTGTTCAAACATAAAAAATTAAAAAGAATCCATTTTTATAACTATATTCTACAGGAAAAATTAACTAAATGATCAATCAAGAAAAACACAGTTAATGGTCAAGTGAGAAACTCAATCACTGAAGTTAAGAATATCAATTTCTCTTTTAGTGAAGGAAAACTTCCTTCTATGCAGTAAAATGTTCAACACATTAAAGCGAAAAGTATTTACACATATATATATTTAATTTTTTTAAAAAACTATTTAAAAATATTTAATTTATTCAGTAAATATTAAAATTTGAAATTTGAAATGCTTACGCCTCAACGCCTTGAGGCTAACGCCCCACCTCATGAGGGGTAAAACGCCTCAAGGTACGCATTCGCATTTAAAAACTTTGTACTCACCTATTGCCTAATTTCTATTTATAGATACACACTGTTATACGTCAAAGTACACTAGCGTCCACCTTAAAAATTAATTAGAAATAATCATTTTCCCCATCCAGTAGTATTCAGGAATAGCATGAATCTCAAGGCAGAACTGATTTGCTTCTCATCCCGTAATCAAATCTATATTTCATGTGGAATTTAGAGGATTTATTTTAAGCTTGATTATAATTCTTTTAAATTTTCTCCTAGAGCATGTTTGATTGACAGGATTAGAGCATGGATTGGGATTATTAATCCGTGGACCCAATAATCCCGTGTTTGTTTTGAAATTTTGTTTCAGGATTATTAATCCAATAGATAATTAATCCAACAAACTTGTAGGATTAGGAGTAGGATTATATATACTGAGTTGGAAATAAAATAAAAAGACTCTTTTACCTTCATATGTTTTTTTATCCAATGCAAATCAAACCATGGATAATGGGATAATTTATCCTACTAATCCAATTGGATAGTAAATACCACAATAATTTAATGAAATTATTAATACTTTAACTATTAGTCTTGTGAATCAAATATAGAGTTAGTGTATTAGATCTTCATACAATTCCGTCTTTGATACGGGTTTCAACATTGCTGTTTCTTTTACTACTAAAATTTATGTGTTATGGTTTTTGGCACTAATGGCTTCTTCATAAGAGTTGCTCTAATAGCATATTTCAATCCAGTATATGTCGTGGAAATTTTTTCATAAATGTGGTTATATGAGATCATGGTCTTTATAAATGCTAGAAGTAGATGTGTGATTTTCCAAATTAGTCGATCCAATCATCTGTTGAGTTATAATGGCTACAGAATATGTAGTTATAGTTTAATTTTGATGCTTGCATTAAAATGTGTCGCTGCTGTGTGTAAATGGTCCATGATTGAACTTGTGCTATGAAGTTACCACATCAATCTCTTCAAACTCCTGCAGCTTTGAGATGTGCACTAGATTGATATTTTCTCGAATCATTGTGAATTTCAAGCATACAATACACTGATGTCAAGCTATAAGGTGGAATGGTAAAGTCGAATGCTTGAAAATTGTAGCATGAATTTCTTGAATATGTTTTCCAATTTGGACAGTGGTTGTATTGTCTATCGTCAAGAACATGATGCCTGAGAATCTAAATGGAAATGTTGGCCGAACTCATGAATAAATGGAAATTGTTTTTGTTTATGTCAGATTGCTGTGGTATATGTTGATTAAGCTGCAAAAAAACATGATATATATATATATATATATATGTGGTTCTGGAGCTATGATTTGATCTCATAGAGCCTTTTATGCAAAACTCTACTTCCCAAGATCTAGATGTACTTAGCTAATTCCAACATTGATTAAGACAATCAACCTGATGTTGTTATTATGTCATTGTTTCATAAAATAGAACTTAATCATATGATTCCACAAGTGTTGCTTATAAAGTTGTTATTTAAGTCTTGCATTTGCTATAATTATTTTACAAATATTTAGGGTTTAGGATTTATGGTTATTTTCTTATTCATAATTCAGCTTCTTTTCCTCTACTTTGTCCTGTTCAACCATTCCATATCATATATATATATATATAATTAAAAGAAATATTTTTTTTCATGCTTAAGTGACACATTATAATAGTTTATTTTTTCTAAGAGAGCCACGTCATAAATATAGAGTTTTATACAAATCCAAATCTAATTTAAATTATATTAACTTTACTTATTCTATATGAACTTTATTTGACAAATATTTTTTTTCATATATTTTTCATGGTAAATTGAGATAATCTATAAATCGAATATCAATTTTGCGTTTCATGTTTTTCTTTTTAATTTTTTCCAAGGTATTAGGATTTTTTTAATGTTAAATTTCCTTTATTTTTTTTTTCCTTCTTAATTTTTCCGTGCATTATTCTATATCTAATACCAATTCTATATTATGAATTTGTCATTTAAATTTTATAATAATTCCATATATGAAATTATACTTAATTTTTTACATTATTTTATATAATCACAACTCATAGTAGGAAAATCTTGCATAACAATGACACTCTCGAGGAACCTCTAAATTTTAGATTCACTCCTTAAGTTATGTGAGGCCTCTAACTTTTGTAAAACCCATTAAGTCCTTGACCTTTGAATTATTTTAATAAAGACCCTCAGATCCCTATTTGTTTTTAATATTAGTTATAGAGTCGAAAATGCGCACCAACCAAAAACTTGAAAACCCT